GCTTGGGGCCCCGCCACCGCCGCTTCCACTTCCGGCCCCGCCGCGGAAGCAAAGGGAGGCCAGTTCCGCCGCACGCCGGATGTGGCGTCATACACACCCTCCCCCTCCCACGCCGCGCCCTTTACCCCACCTCGGGAGCCTAAGAATGAAAATGAACCGAAGAAACCGGATGTCAGCCACGTGCGAGCGGAAGTCATTGTGTGCCAAGCCGATTGGCGCAGTGTGGACTGTTAGAGACCCCTGTTAGAGAAACAAGCTGAGGCGGGGCTCCGCCTTGTAACTTTATGTTACACGGTTTTGTTTACCTGGTTTAGTCGGCCTCTCGCATTTCAGTCCCCGAGATGGAACTTTGGTTCACCCTTTCAGCCCCAGGGCTTAGAACAAGGCCTGGCACAGTCGGCATACATGCGGATTTGTTTAATGGATGAAGGAATCCCAGCCTATCTCTTTCCATGGCCACAGACAAATCTCTGCCATGGAGGACCTCTTAAGTTAAAGACAGAAAGGAATCTACCTTCCCTATGTGGCTCAGTCAACATGACCTCCCTGATTCCAGAAAGGTCCCCTTGACACCATTCAGTTACTTTGTTGTCTGCATACCTTTTTTTAAGAGGAGGAAACTGGCTCACAATGGTTAAGTAACTTGTTCATGGTTGCATAGCTAAGAACTGGCTTTGAAATCAAGGTTGAAATTGGAACCCAGGAAAGCTGTGTACTAGTTTCTCCTCTTATCACTTAACTTTTCTGGAACTCACTTTGTCATGAGTCCAAAACCCATCCAAAGTGGTATTTGAATTACTCTGCTTCCCTAGTCTCTTGCTGCAGGCAGAGAAAGTGATTGGTCCCTAAGCAAACTTCGTGGTGTCTGAGCTTTTGCACACACTACTCCCTCTTGAAATGTCCTTTCCACTATCTTATACTGACTTCAATTTTTATTTGCTTTACCTCAGATTTTGTTCCAGAGTTGGGGGTAGGCACAGAAGGTAGAGCCAAAGTTTGGTGGGGCACTAGGAGCAAGTTTGGTTTTGTACGTAGGCAACAGATAAAAATACGCAGAAGAGAGGACCAAGTTCTTAACCTTCTCGAAGGTCCTAGGTAAGTCAGTTCTATACAGATTACTACACACATTTAGTAGGTCCAGAGAAATAAGAAAGGTCAAGATTTTTTTTTTTCTACAAGGGAGCTCAGACAGGAAAAAGTTACTATCAAGAAATTTGGGGAGTGGGAAGACTAACTAGTTATAACTAGGATCTTTAACAGTGAAGAAGACCTGGTGTATTTACTGTTACCCCCCAGCCTGGGTGATTGGGGAAGGGTCCATGGCATAGCATAGGGTTAAGTGCAGAGCCCTCATTCTGGCTTCGTGGAATGCAGTAGAGGCTCAGTTCTTAATCTGGAACCTGGGCTCCACAGCTGTGTGTGTCCACGTTGCTGAGGGGGTGTTGGAGAGAATTCCAGGTTTTTCAAGGGGTTCCACAGCCCAAGAGGACTAAGAAACTAGTTCTAATTCCATTTCCTATTAAGATTGGAAGATGGACAAGCTGGACAGTGTAGAGAAACATACATTAATAATCTTGTTTCCACCAAGAAACAGTGTGTACTCCTGCGGCGTAGCCTTAACCATAAATTGGGACTTACAGCACCTACTCATATAGAACATTTACCTTGTTGCCTGGCTTACAGACACAAGAAATCTTGGCTTTTGTCAGTGCGTTTTTGTCACAGGGGCCTTCTGCACCCGTGAGTTCTGGGCCTAAAAGTGAGGCTGAGCCTGTAGCCTCCTAAGACTAGCAGTTACATACATACTCCCCAACTATGAGCCTTATCTGATGCTGTTGGCAGGAGTCATCCTTGGTGGTTCAAAGAAAATGTCACAAGCTCTCCTCTCGAAGCCCTGGGCAATTATAAAAAGAAATAGGAAGGTCCTACCCCATCCCTTTTACCTTTTTCCTGTCCAAGAAGAAAGAACATAAAACAAGGGCTCTTTCTTCTGGGCTCTGCCACTTCCTCAGACCCTCCCCTGGCCAGATACTATAGACACAGACAACAAACTCCCCCTTAAATAGTTGTTTATTGGCAGTGGGCTGGAAAGGGCGATGGAGTTAGCATTCACAGACAACACCACGCACCAATGTCACAAGGGAGGTAAGAGTGATGGGAAAGAGGAGCCTGGAGCCCCGGATGAGGCCCCCTCTTCAGGTGTGTGGAAGCGGGCAGGACCTGGAGTGTTGAGGCGGCCTTGGAACACCTCCGCTTAGTAGGCATGGTTAGATATGAAGAGGGACTGGCTGGCTGCAGCCCCGGCCTGACCACTTGGGGTGTACTTTCCTTGGCAGGCAAGGCTGTTGGCCTAAGAGGGAGAGGAGCCAGAGTGAGAAGTTCTGTTCTCAGAATGCCGTCCACCCCAGCACTCTGCCTGCCTCCCGCCCCATCCTCACCAGTGCTCGCTTGACATATTCCTCCTGGGCAGCCTTCAGGTTCTCCTTCTTTCCACCCCAGGCCTTCAGGGCAGAGGCCTGCAGGGCTCGGCCATAGGAAAAGGTCAGGGCCCAAGGCTTCAGCAGGGGGCACTTGTTGATTGCATTGAGGTTGATGGATGCCTCCTCCTCACTCTGACCTCCAGATAAGAAGGTGATCCCTGTAAAACAAGGGGTGAAATGTGAAGAGGAGTCATAGTCAGAGACCAGTAGGAGTCCCTAGCAGCTGACCTGGAAAGCAGACCAATGGGCATAAGGATTATGGGTATAGTTTGTCTCCCAGAGGGCAAAATGAGGGCTTGGGGTTTACCAGTGACAGCAGGGGGCACTGTGCGGCGCAGCGCTGTGACAGTTGCCATGGCAATCTCCTCGTTAGAAAATTTCTGGGTGCAGGCATGGCCTGGGGTGACCATATTAGGCTTCAGCAAGGTGCCTTCCAGGTAGATGTGATGGTCACTCAGAGCCTTGTAGACAGCAGCCAGCACCTAGAGCAGGGCAGGACCAAAGTGAGATGAAGTACGGGAACAGGCGTCAGACCCAGCTGCCTAGCCCACCGCACTGCCCAGGCATGCAGGCAACCTACCTTTTCAGTTACATACTGACAGCGCTTCAGGTCGTGGTCCCCATCAGGGAGGATCTCAGGCTCCACGATGGGCACAATGCCATTCTATGGGGTGAGGGATAGGGTAGCCATGAGGCCTCCTAACCCAGAGCCTTACTGACAGCTCTCCACAGACATTAGCCAAGGTCTTATATCCATAAAGACAGAGAAACTCATGGTTTCAAAGCCCTCAGCTTTGTAGGGCTGTCGGATCTCCTCAGATCTACCCACAAACCCTGTCCTGCCCTTCTGTTCAGAGTCTTCGAATGTCCTCTACAGGCCCAAGCCTAATGCCTGGTGAGGATCTGGAATGGCTGCTTTGGGGGAGGCAGAAATCTTGGCAGATGGGTGGCAGGCTACCTGATACTCTGGAACCAGCTGAGGTGGGAGCTGGCCTGAAAGGGACACGCAGGCCTACCTGCTGGCAGATGCTGGCATAACGGGCCAAAACATTGGCATTTTCCATGATGGCAAGGGCTGAGGGAGTGTGTTCCCCAATCTTCAGCACACAGCGCCACTTGGCAAAGTCAGCTCCATCCTTCTTGTACTGAGCACAGCGCTCAGACAGCCCATCCAATCCTGGAGAGAAGATGGAAAAGTCATGGCATGGCAAAGGAGGCGGCAGGTGGTACCCCCTCATCCTGAGCACCGAGAGGGGCACCAACCTGAGTGGGTTGGTCAATATGGCAAGAAGCCAAACAGTTCTCACCTTGGGTGGTAGTCTCGCCATTTGTTCCTGCCAGGGGTACCACACCCTTGTCTACCTGTTGGGGTTGGTCAACAACATAAAACAGAGGTCACTAGGACCTCTAGGGCCCTTTTCTCCTCTAGGGCCCCACTCCGCCCCCAACTTTACTTAATCTCTCAAGCTGCATCTCTTGTTCTGCAAATGTTTTCACTTAGTTACAGTATCTGATCCTGTCAGACAGACTACATGGGGATACTATTTGACAGAGAGCCTGGGCTCCTACCACTTCCTAATTCTGTGAGCAAAACACTTTGCTGCCTTGAGCTTCTGGTTTTTCATCTGTACAAAGAGGGTAATACCTTGCTCTTACAACTTCAAGGATTAAAAATGCCAAGGAGGACCCACAGTTCCGACCTTTCCTTACACGTGATCTGGGGCAGACTCTAGGTGCCCAAGTCTCCTGGCACCTAGCCCAGTGTTCAAACCAGAGCCTATTACTCTGGATTTCCTTCTTGTGGACCAATCTCAAATCTCACATCATGAGGCCCAGCCTCCTCACCTTGATGCCCACAACACCGCCCTTGGATTTGATAACTTGGGGGAAGGGACGCCCATCATCTGCCTTCTGATAAAGCGTCTCATGGAAGAGGATGACACCCCCAATGCAGGGATTCACACGGTCATCGGCAGTCAGCAGCAGCTGGCGGTAGAAGCGACGGTTCTCCTCGGTGTTCTCAGTGCCAATGGACTGCAGCCGCTTGGCAATGCTCCCTGGAAGGGACCATCACATGGTAATAAAGGGATCAGCCTGTCACCCCCAACCCTGGGCCTTCCTCCTACTGTGTCCTGTCCATACCAGTGGACTCATCTGCAGCCAAGATGCCTTTGCCCGGAGCCACAATGCGGTGAGCAATGTCAGACAGCTCTTTCTTCTGCTCCGGGGTCAGCGCTGGGTATTGGTAGGGCATGGTGCCTGTCAGTTCCTGGGCAAAGGAAACAGAGCGGAGAGGACCA